TCGTACCAATGAAGACACTCAAAGAAATTAGCCGCTTTGCTGTATGTTGAAAGAATAGTAGAGCATCTGCAAAACAGTTAAACAGGCATTCCGGGCAGAGCGACAGCAATGATGTCAATGAAAGGAATAACAGTCATAACTCTCCCACTCGAAAGAACTGCAACGCAGGGAAAGCAGTTGGCAGCAAATATCCTTACTTAACAGAAAAATAGAGCTAATTAACCTTTGAGCAAAGTAAAAGAGCAAACAAGCTTTGAAATCTAACGCGATGCATGATACCAGTAGGAAATCTTGATATTTCTCCGAACATGTGAAAATCCAGCACAATTCATCACCATGGATGTGCTTCACTGCTTCTTAACGAATACAAATCAATGCTGAAGCGCTGTGCTATTAAACAGGAAAATTGGAGATACATGTGCCTACAAATAACTGATGAAAAAAAGATGTAGTTTTGCTGCTTACTGTCGCATCGTCCAGTGCCATCGTGTCTATTAATGACGAATTTGCTTTAATGTTTTAAGTCAGCATAGTTGTAGAAGCTGAGGACAAAATTTGTACTAGTATTATAATTTTTGTCAACAAATTCATTTTTCGTGACCTAGGTGCCAAGGTTTACGAGGCGAAGGAGAGTGATGCGAATGAGGAGGAGAAGATGGGAGTTTTACTAGTCTCAAGCTGACAAATGTGGAATTGTTAGGATTCCTCATTTTGTTACCAGATCACAACAAATCCAAGGTTCCAAATGCCTTTGGCTATCAACATTTAAATGACAGGTTTTTACGACCCTAGCGGCTACGTGAACCAACACTCTATTCAGCGGGATCTAATTCAGGCAAGTTGAGCCGGCTGTGAATAGGTTGTTGGCATCAAATACATCTGACTCCTATTCCTAAATCTTACCCTTGGGTAACTTTAGCCAGGGACTGGAGACATTTCGATAGTTGATAAGCAAACTCGGACATTTAGTTAAAAGTAATTACGTTGAAGTCAGGCCGGGCAGGCTAAGTAAATTAGAAAATAACTAGGGCTCAACGAGCCCAACGAGCCCAATGTATGCAAATTTAACGCAGAGGATGAGTGTAAAACCTCCAGTATGCTCGCGGGGTATTTTCTTTTGCGAAGTAGCCCTACTTCCAACCCATTGTGTGGGTGTAGTTTTATTTTTAACATCATGGACATTTATGGCCCCGTCACTAGTCATAGACCCACTGCTTGAAGTGCACGCACAGTGGCACCTAATGATAGCTGAAGTCAAATAACGCGCGTGGTCGTAACATCCCCTACCTCCAGTCTTGGCGCTTATCGGAGCGCGCCCAATGCTAGCAATAACACACCTAAAAAGGATGTCCACCTAGCTTACTTTGGGTTGTTTCTCACTTTTTCACCTTCTTCAGCGTGTTGCAGAGCTGATATGGCGTTGAATGCTTATCACACAAGAACTGCACAAAGAGGGAAGCCAAAAGGGGTTAATCGCCCATTTTTATCGACCAAATAGCTGTCATTCCAAATCGACAACATACTCGAATTAGCACTTATTTTAACGTTTTTTGATATAAAAATAAGCAATGTTGCATGCCACGTTTGCAACTAATCTATCAAGAGTTGCATGACTCAACTTCACTAGGTGTGTTTGGGTTATTAGCATCCCCCAATTCAAGCGTTTTGATGGCATGCCCTATTTTTGCTTCATTGAGTTCCGTCAACTAAAGACTTATACATAAAGTGATATTCCTTCCTTGCCCAAGCATCCCATTCACCTACTTTTATCAAATTTCACTGTGATGCCAATCTCTTATGCGTGGTATTTCATAATCTGTTCAGTCATGCTACTCAATTCCTCTCAATAGCAGGTTGTTCGTGAAACAGAGAGATGTGGATGGAGGGACGGGTGTGAATTTGTACCAAGTTTAACTGCATTTGTGGCCTTAATTATGCCATCATTTCACCCTTCACTATGGCATTAGTCGTGAATACGCAAGATTACACTTGAGTTTATCTTTTAACCTCAAACAAGCATTGAGCCAGTTGCAATGGTCACAACAAGAAGTAGAATGAGGCTGCCTTGTTACTATCGGGAAGGCTTAATAAATGCAATAATTTTAGCCTGACTTTAAAGCTGTAAGCATTAACTGTTTGAACAGGCAATATGGCTATGCGGGGCCGTAGATTCGACTGATGGCATGCGAGATGGATTTAAATTATCGATGATGAGATGGTGGTGCAACGGTGAATAGCTTTGTAGTGCAGCAATTAAAGTGGAAGGGAGGGGAGCTTTGTTTAAGTAGGCAAAGTTGTGGCTTGCGTTACAAGCCGAGTCCACGAGGGAGTGGGCAGTATTTATTAGTACGAAAAATCCAAACTCCTAACCCAATGTGTGGATGTAGTTTTACAGTCAACGTCATCTACATTTATGGCCCAATCACTGGTCATGGATGTACTGCTTACATTGAACACCAAGAAAAGCTTTCTGACGGCTTAAGTAGAATACAGTGCGTACACGAGCGAGTCATTACCCTTGTGCAAGTTTCACAAACTTTTTCGCAAGTTACCACTAGAGCAGTGAGGGCACTTTACTACTCATCCCATTCTAGAATAAATACTCCCCTTTTTGGCTTCAAAAAGGGAAGATTTACTGCCAAAATTGACTTTACTACTAAATAAG